TAGCTTTGAATGCTCTTATTCTTGTTGGGAAAACAGCACCTGGCAGTGGCTTAGTAGGGAGCTAATATCTGAAAGTCCCAAGGAGAAACAGCAGATATTCTATAATGTCTCTTTTCACAAAGTAAGCCATTATCTAGAGACAATCGTGGTTTCTTCATGGCCACCATGTTGGATAGGGACATTTGGGAAATCTGAGCATAATGAGGCAGAGCCAAGGATGTTCGTTCTACTTTCCCCAGACTCACTTTAGAAGGAACTGTGTATCTGCCTGGTTCCCCCTTAGGACTGCTGAGTTACTAACCTACGGTGTTGTACCCGGGCCTCAGGAAAGAATCGCAAGCTCCCAAGGGTCAGAGTGTGGGCTTCTGGGGCCCAGAGAAGACCTGGGACATGGTGGGGGGGGGGGCAATTGGAGGAAAGGTAGCAGGCAGGATGGAGCCAAGATGCAGGACTGCACTGATTCGGAGATAGCAGGGAGCAAGAGTGTCAAAGCGGGTGTTAGGAAGCCTCGTGTTAGCCTCACCGCTCCGGTTTGAGACTTGGAGTCCCAGTACTGCGGGGGCAGAGCAAGCAGGTTGGCATGGTCATGGGCACTGCCCCTCAGGCCACCCTTAGCCACTGCTGAGTCTGGATCCCACCCTACGTGCACTCCTAGTAACCCGTCTTACCCTCGCTCATCCTTTCACACGCCCCGGCATCCCCAAGCACACCTTCACACACCCTCAAACCTCCTGGTACCCCATGTACCCCTGAGGCCCAGCCTGGTCCAGTTGGGTGCACAGGCTGCAGGCAGATTCTGTGAACCCTCCATGCAGAGCCCGCACTGGGAGACTGTTGGAATTCCAGGGATGAAGACAGTGTCCTTGGGAAGGGATCAGAGTCTGGACCACAGCACATGGCTTCTGGCACTGGGCACAGAGCCTACAAGTCTGTGGCTCCATTTGTCAGGTGTTCCGGTGGCCATGGGTAGCTTTCTCTTTGTTGTGGTTTTTGGTTTTTGCCTTTTGGTTTTGTTTTCATTTGTATTTTAGCAATGGGCTCTTGTACTGGCTAGTTTTGTGTCAACTTGACACATTAGCATCATCAGAGGAAGGAGCCTCAGCTGAGGAAATGCCTCCATGAGATCCAGCTGTAAGACATCTTCTCAATTAGTGATCAATGGGGTGGGCCTAACCCATGGTGGGTGGAGCCATCCCTGGGCTGCTGGTCCTGGATTCTATAAGAAAGCAGGCTGAGCAAGTCAAGCAGTAAGCCAGTAAGCAGCTTGCTTACTGATGCCAGGATCTCTGTCCTGCTTGGGTTCCTGTCCTGACTTCCTTCAGTGATGTACAGCAATATGGAAGTGTATGCCTAATAAGCCCTTTCCTCTCCAGTTGCTTCCGGTTATGGTGTTTCATCACAGCAATAGAAACCCTAACTAAGACAGTTCTGTAAAGGTTTGGGTCAAGAACTCGATTTTGGTCCATGAAAACCTATGCCCTGCTATGAAGTTCCTTCTGGTACTGGGAGAAGGAGTAGATTCTAGGTCTCACCAGAAGTGAGGAGTCCGCTGGGGATGTATGTAGCTCAGCTAACACAGCACACAAGACCACCAGGTTGGAGCATCACGGATGCATAACCCAGGTGTGGGAGTACACACCTGCAATCCCAACACAGGCAGGGAGAACAGAAGATCAAATACATCATCAGTTACATAGTGAGACTGAAGCCAGTCTAGGACACATGAGACCCTTTCTCAAAAAAAAAAAAGTACATAAAACTGAAGTGACATTTAAAAAGTTATTTACACTTGTGATATAGATATAGATATGCATATGTGCATATATGTCCAAGCTTGCTATTTGGTGGAAGGACAACCCCAAGTGTCAATCATCTCCTTCCACCTTCTTGGAGACAATATCTTTTGATTCTATTTGTAGTTGCATAGGCCTGGCTATCTCCACCTTCTACCTCCTCTTAGGAGCGCTGGGGCTGCAGATGCGCACAACAGCATCCCACTTCATATGTGTCCCAGGGATTCAAAACGTGGGGTCCTGACATCTGTGCTGCAAGCTCTTTACCTGAACCGTCCCTGCAGTCCCCAAACATGAGATTTTTCCGATACAGATGATTGAAACTCTCTTTGTTCGAAGGAGGTTTCCCTTTCCACATGAATCCATACATGAATTTTAAGAGACACAGCAGTGGCTGGTTTCACAGAAGAATGAAGAAGTTCAGCAGGTTTGTCATTGCTCGCACTAGGAGAGTCTCTTGGTCACTTGTGTTTTCATGGGTTGAATCCCTAGGAGCTGTTGGTATTGGGATACCTGTCAATTACCTTGATGGTGGTGGAGCTGTCTCCTTTGGTGTTGTCCCCTGGCTTGGGACATAAGCCAGTGTATACTTTTTTTACAATTGTTTTCGGGATATGTGGTCCCTGCCCCTTCACATGCTTATGTTCCCCATTAGAATGTTCACCTCTTGGCAATTTAAAACTCATAGCATTTTTTTAACCACCTGTCAGGCTCAGGGAGAAGTATAGAGATTAACAAATAAAAGATTTGGAAAATGCTTCCTGAATCTAAAATTCCATAAATATGCTAAATAGTAATAATCCACCCATTGTTAAATTTATGTCGTCTCTTCGGCTGTGCACATGAGACGATTTAGATGCATGTTTCTTGTCAATTAAACAATGAGTTTGAAGCAAAATAATGAGTTCCATTCACATCTTATGAAAGTTGGAAATAAACTTCTCCCATAAGGCGGCCGGGCTGGGAAGCCTGAAGTAAGTAAGCAGCCTTGAAAAGAAGCTAGGAGGAGTAGCATTTGCCTTGCAGATGGGAAACCGGACTTGGGAACCAGGGAAACTATGCTGTAGTCAGTCCTGACTCATATGCACCTGCTGCGTGCCTAGACTCTAAGTGTTCCTTCGTGTATTAAGGGTAAGCCAGCAGGGAAGCCATGCAGGTTTGGGGGACAGCCCAACAGCTCTCCCACTTAATCTGTGAAATATGCCTCTTGGTATTTCAGAGCTAAAGTTCAAACCGTGGTTTTGCTTATAGGCAAGGAAGAAAATCTTCATAGTTACTCTGATAAATTATTCATTCTTCCAATAGCATGGGTTTGGCTTGTAAGCATCCTTAATGCCAGCTATTATTTTAATATCCTGAAGATAATTGCCTTGTTCCCAGTGGACTGAGTGACACGTTAACATAGCATTTTTCTCTCGTAGCTTGTTTTTAATAATGAAGTGCGTGACTGTTTGCCGCTGTGGCACAAAGAAGCCTGTTTCTTGGGTGTGAATGCTGACATGACTCATCATTTTTCTGATTTAGGAGCAACCCAGGACTCCTATGCAGCAGCCTGGGCTGTGAGTGAACCTGTGACATCGAGAGAGACCTTTCCTAGACACCATCCTCTTTGAGTGGCCTTTGCTTTTCCTTCCCCTGACTTGGGTTCTGCAGCTCAACAGCGGCTAAGACCCAGCCCAGCACCCCAGGCCTTCCTCTCTGCCACCTTCCTTACCTCTGTTGGTTAAACCGTGCCATGCTTTGTATTGGTTTTCCAGCAGCTTGGCATGTAAGGCTCAAATGGCTCTGTGTTTGTTGGGGCAGCTGTGACCCACACAGCGTGGTGCTGTGCCATCTCACTAAATGTCTCCAAAGCCTCTTGAGATAGATTATGCTGTTTGTGACACACCAAACAAAAGCCATTGCTCAAGGAAAGCTTTACTGACAAGAACAGAGTCAAGACCATACAGTGATTCTGCATCTCAGTCTCTGAATGAGAAGAGCTGCCATTCTGAACTGAAGCTGACCTAGGTTCTCTCATTTGCTAACTGCAATACCCTGAGCTCCTGAAATTCTCCACGGTCCTGGCTTCATTCCTTTGGTTTTGGAATAAGCCATCTCAGAGTGATGGAGGGGAATGCTCCAGAATGTTTGCTGTCAAACACATAAACTTGTTCTTTGTGGTGGTTTGAATGAGAAAGCCCCCCCATGGGATCATATACATGGAATAATTGGTTGTCAGTTGGTGAAACTATTTGGAAAGGATTAAGAGGTGTGGCCTTGTTGGAGGAGTTGTGTCATTAGGGGGTGGAGTTTGAGGTTTCAAAAGCCCATGCCATTAACCTCTCTCTCCTCCCTGGCTCCCTCCCTCCCTGCCTGGCTCCTTCCCTCACTCCCCGCTCTGTCTTTCTGCCTCTTGACTGGAACAAATGTAAACTCTCAGCTATCGCTCTGATGTCAGACCTGCCTATTGCCATGCTTCCACCAGGGTGATCTTGTCCTTCTGGAACTGTGAGCGCCAGTAAATATTCCCTTCTATAAGTGTCCTTGATCGTGGTGTCTTTACAGAGCTAGAAATGCAAATAAGACATCCTACAGGATTCTGGAACATGTCTACCTTGCTCTTCCCTTTCCTCCACTTCTCCCCAACACACACCCATTACCTTCTTTTCTTCCAGGTTCTTGGCAAATCTCACCTCTTTCCCAGACGTCTTCCTGCTACTCGTTGTCATTCCAAAACTCACGACCCCTCAAGGCACTGATTGTAAAGGGAAGTTGATCTCTTTGTATCTTGGTCCACATGTGGTTAGTTGAATTATCTTCTCCTCGTCACTGGTCCCATCATGGCTTAGCTACATAAATCCAGATCCCATTTGACTTGACTGTTTTTATCATTGTATTCCCAGAACCCAGTGCAGTGACAAATGACACAGTTACTGACTGATGTATGTTTGGTTGAATTGTCTCTTATAAGGAACTTGTATGAGGGGCCAATATATCATTATTCCTGGGGGTAACCCAACTGGAGCCCCATTGATCTCATACCACTGGACAGAATGAGATTAAATTATGGATGAAAATCCTCCAAGAGTGCTGATGGAGAACACAGCACTGGCCTCAGACACATGGAATAATAGAGAAGTCTTTGTCTGTAAGATGTCTCAAGGACAGTTAATGGTATAGGTCATTGTTTTATTGGTAAAGTACCTAAAATTAAAAAAAATAGACTACAGGTGCCTTGGGACCTGTCAACTGTGGCACTCCCCCTTCCTGGTCATAGTAAAACATGTTCCTGTGCATGGCAAACATGTCACCACTTCATTGGTATCTGATTCTTACTGGCATTGATAACATTCTTCACTATGAAGAACATAGGTCCTAAATAATACATCCCAAGCCTCCAGACTTCTAGACCACTGTTCTTTCTACAGAAAGGTCCGAAAGCTCAGGCGCCACACAGTCACAATGGAGCTTTCAACCAATGATGCTCTCTTACAAAAATAAAAGCCTTAGGTTACCCACGCCAGTCCTAGATTTTGGTGCTAGAACACTGTGCTATGATGACCCATTTATAAATGTATTCTGTCCTCCATAAGCTTCAGTAGTATAATTGCTTTCATTAAAAAAGAAATGGAAGCCAGGCGTTGGTGGTGCATGCCTTTAATCCCAGCATTCCGGAGGCAGAGGAAGGTGGATCTCTGTGAGTTCAAGGCCAGCCTGGTCTACAGAGGAGTTCCAGGACAGCCTCCAAAACAATACAAAGAAACCCTATCTCGGAAAACCAAAAAAAAAAAAAAGGAATGGAAACAGACTGGCCTCCAGCCCACTATGTAGCTGAGAATTACCTTTGACTTCTGATCCATCTGCCTTTACAAACTCCCTTGTGCTGGGTGTGCACCACAACACCCAGTTTTATGTGATACTTGGGGTGGAACCTGTGTTTCCTTAATTCTGGGAAAGCATTCTGTTAACTGAGGTATAACTCCAGCTTTTCAATTTTAATCATCAAGCAGCCTTTTAATATCTGTCATAGCTTACCATTTCCTTTTTAATTAATTCAACTCAATTTATTTTCTGTGTATGAATGTTTTGTTTGTATGCATGTATATATACCACACATGTGCCTGGTGCCCTCAGAGTTTGTAAGATGGTGTCAGATCCTCTGGAAATGGAGTTACAAACAGTTGTGAGCCACTGTATGAGTGTTGGGAATTGAACCCTGGTCCTCTGCAAAAGCAGCAAGTGCTCTGTGGTAGTTTGAATGTAGTTGGCTCCCATAAGCTCATTGGGAGTGGCACTGTTAGGAGGTGTGGCTTTGTTGGAATGGGTGTGGCTTGTTGGAGGATGCATGTCACTGTGGAGGCAGGCTTTGAGGTCTCATATATGCTCAAGCCATGCCCAGTGAATCAGTTCACTTTCTGATGCCTTCCATGAACTCTCAGCTCCTTCTCCAGCACCATGTCTGCCTGCCACCATGCCTTACCATGATGATAATGGACTGAACCTCTGAAAATGTAAGCCACCCCCAATTAAATGTTTTTCCTTTATAAGAGTTGCCATGGTTATGGTGTCTCTTCACAGCAATAGAACACTAAGAGATGCTCTTGTCTAATGAGCCATCTCTCCAGTCCCCACTTAGTAATTCTTAAATGCTTTGGATGGCTAAATAGGGAAGTTACATTGCTGAGCACTTTAACAGTAGTATAATGAATTTGAGATATATTTCCAAGGTTGATTGGTGTTTTGAATTCCAAAATCTTGGCGGCTCATGTTTAAGGATGAACATAATAATTTTTCTCCTCTAACTTAGAAAGCAATTCTTTCTAGAACATTACCTCCTTAGACAAACAGTTCTTAAACTGTAGAGAACTTCCCAGTCTTCTGGAAGGCTTCTGAAAAGTCTAGATTGCTCAGATCCTCACTACACTGTTCTGAGTCAATAGGTCTGGGATCGCACCCAGATGCCTACCTCTTTAGCAAACACCTTTACTGACCTTTCAATCAAGTGGCTGATGACCTCACCCCAGAGTCCTCTGATAAATTTAATATGCTTTTAATTTCCCCAGTTTCCTCCTTTGAGGGTTATTTTATAAAGAAAAAATACATGGAAAGGAGTTCAATGTATTTGAATTTAGCAAAAAGCAGAGATGATCAAATTGATTCATCAGATGGTAGCAAGTAGATTTCCTTATAGTACAATCTAATAAGTGTGTGTGTGTGTGTGTGTGTGTGTGTGTGTGTGTGAAACATGTAACTGAGACTCAAGCAGGATGTGATGTGACAGCTGCTTGAGTTCCTGCCTTAACAACCCTGAAATGGTGGGCTATAATCTGGAATTGTAAGCCAAACAGACTCTTTCCTCCCCTTTGTTGCTTTCTGTCCAGTATTTTATCACAGCAACAGGAATCAAACTAGGACATGATGTTATAAAGTCACAGCATAGCCATGGGCAACAGACCTAAATGAGCAACATTTACAATGTTTCTTTTCTACAAAAAAAAAAAAAAAAACAATTAGCGGTAAGAGTTGAGCATGAGGTTCGCAGATAGCAGTAGCTTCCCTCAGCCTCCAGATGCATCTGTTCTATATAATAAAGACATGAAATTAACATCCAGGAAGTGCACAAGGATGAGTCTGCAGATCCAGCAAAGGATGCCCACTTAAAGATAAATTTCCAGCACACGGCCATGGGGCCACAGTGTGTTCAAGTCTTTCATAATGTTCTCTTAGCTAATTCTGGAAACTCTTTGGAAAGTGAACACTGGCCTTGAATGGCAGCCATATCCAGAACCGAGGGGTGCCCAGCACTTACTTCAGAAGCTGGTAAGTGCCCTTGAGATGTTCTTGAGAAAAGTGCACAGCCTGTGCTCCACTGTGGGTCCCACATTGTTGAAGCTCTCAAGGACAGCGGCTCATCTGCAAGAGTGGGCAGTTGATCCAGAACTACAGCTTGTGGGTAGGTGGCCCACAGGGAGACTTAGAAGAGAATTTGGAAAGGGCCTGTAGGAACAAGATTGAGCTGGGTCTTAGATAGGGCATATCTGAAGCTCTGGGAGAGAGACCCAAGCTCTCGACCTCCAGGGTAGTATTACCTGCAGAATATGCAGAAATGATCGTGGGCACATTAAACAAGCAAACAAGGGCCAGATGGTTGATGCTAGCATTTCCTACAGCTTGTGCAGAAATTGTGAGCAGATTAAACACACAATGGCCTGAAGAGTTTAGAGTGCCCATGTTGGAAACAGCGTATGCTCTTGAAAGTGTCAGTTAGGGGAAAGGACAAGATTGAAGGGGAAACTGTGGGGGAATCCAGCTTCAGTCACAAGGCCTGGCACCAACTCTTCTGTTTACAAGCAGGGGGAACTTAGACCAGTAGGCCTCCATATCCTGTGCAATGAACTGAGAATAATCATAGAAACTGTGATTACTCAATGCCTATTCTTAATTGGTGATATGTTTTTGTGATCCAACAGAACCTTTGTACTATACTGTTCACTTGTATCCATAGCAAGCCTAGTAGTCATATCCATACACACACACACACATACACACACATATGTGAGTTGCACAGTGCTTGTCATTGTATGAGACTGCAAAAATATTCAATAAATGATATGCAAAGCTAACATTGCTCTACAATTATGAGACAGGCAGAGGCTCTGCTAGCGTCTATCATGAAGAACCTTGGAGGAGTGAAGAGACAGAAAAACCTGAAAGCTGGGGTGGGGTGGGGTAGAGGTGGCAGGTGCCAAGCTGGGTACTGTGTACAGTTTCGTGGCCTGAGCAACAGTAGTGTGGTTGGTGTGTGACTTCCTCAATATTTATGATCTTCAGCCACGTGTTCATGTATTGATTTACAGGGCCAGAGCTTGTCGGCACTTTCTGAACCATTAGAATGCAAGCTTCCCACTTCAAGGAAGGTGTGTTTCTTTCTCCTGCTCATCTACCTTCAATTTTTATTGGGAGGGGAAGGGCGTGGCATTCCTCTGAAGAGTTTTGGGTCCATGCTGTGTGCTAAAGCATTTCGAACTAACTCAAAAACACTAACTCATACAGAAAAAAAAACAAAACTAAAGGTCAATTTTTTTGTTTTGTTTTTTTTGTTTTTATGTTTAGCATTTTTTATTATTATTTTTTTATATTTTATTTTCCAGTTTAAATTTAGATAAGAAACGAGGTTGCTTCAAAAGTCAGTTCCAGGTCCCTCTCCCATTCCCTCCCCTCCTCCCGTGCCCTCCCCCCAACCCCCCCCCTCCGTTAACCCCTCATTCCCCCAGGGAGGGTGAGGCCCTCCATGGGGGTGTCCATAGTCTGTCATTTCATATAGGGCAGGGCCTAGACCCTTCCCCAAGAGTTCAGGGTGAGAGTGCACCTCACATTGTTCTATGGGAGTCCAAAGTCCGTGTGTATACTTGGGATGGGTACTGATCTGCTGCCCAAGGCTCAATAGATTCCCTAGGCCTCCTCACTGACACCCAGATTCAGGAGGTCTTGATCAGTCCCATGCTGGATTCCCAGGCTGATGCCTGGGATTCAAGAGTTAACCTTTGTCTGGTCAGCTGTTTCTGGGGATTAATCCCAGAACTTAATCCCTTTGATCATCAGTCCTCCCTCTCTGTTACTGGCTTTCTTGAGTTCAGCTCAGTACTTAACCAAGGGAGTCTGCCTGTTCTTCGATCAGCCACTAAATGAAGTTTCTGTTTCCCAGACTCTCTGGCCATAGGATTGTAGGCTGGCTCTCCCCAGATCTATGTCTAAAATCCATATATGAGAGAGTACATGCCATGTTTCTCTTTTTGTGACTGGGTTACCTCACTCAGGATGGTTTCTTCTAGTGTCATCCACTAAAGGTCAATTTAATTGAGACCATTAATATTGAGAGTTATCAGTGAGTAGTGTTTGATGACTCCCATTATTTTGTTATAGTGGAATAGGTTTTTCCCTTCTTTTTTGATTTACAAGTCTGAGATTATTCATTTCTTGTGTTTTCTTGGGTGTGGTTAACCTCTTCATTTTGAAGTTTCCTTCTACCACCTTCTGCAGAACTAGATGTATAAATAGATACTGCCTACATTTTCTTTCATCTTGGAAAGAGACTCTCTGCTCTGACTATTGTTAATGATAGTTTTGCAGGGTATAGCAGTCTGGGTTGGCATCTGTGGTCCCTTAGAGTTTGAGAAGCTTTTATGTTATAGCAGGCATGATCTTCCTCGGGGCCTTTGAATTATCTTCTTCCTCTCATGGAATATCCTTTCCCTAGACCCTGAATGATTTTATTACAAGTCACCTCCTCAGAGAACTCTTTACTAACTATCCAACCCTATTCATCTGTTTTTCTGTTTTTACTTTTTTAGTT